TTATATATGTAAATGTAGTCCAAAAGAAATGAACAAAATCGATAGTTTAATAAATTATAAAGCTGATTGTGAAACATACAGATTTGGTCTATCGGTGCTTCATGCTCATATTCGATTGTTTGAATGTTTATTACATATATCATATCGTTTAGATATTAAAACGTGGCAGGTAAATATTATTCTATACATAAGCATTATATACAAATGTATAAATTAATTAATACAGATTGTAATTAAGGTAAGATCGTTGGAACACAAAGAAATATTTCAAAAACGAAAAAAGTATATACAAGATCAATTTCGTTTACAATTGGGTTTATTAGTCGATGTTGTGTTACAAGGTAAGTGTTTAATAATTCATAGTTCTTGCTAAATTTTTAAATATATATATATATTTTTTTCTTTTAGGAGCTGGAACAACTAACGATGGAAACACAGCCCGTAAATTTTTTAAAAATGCTGAAACTAGTGCTATTATCACAGGATTAGACGTCCGATTAATTCAACGTTTCGCTAATATATTATATGCTATATCAAGTCATCATGAAATTAATTCAAAAACATTTAAATCGTACACTTTGGAAACAGCTAAACTTTATGTTAGCCTTTATCCTTGGTATTACATGCCCAGTAGTGTCCATAAAATACTAATACATGGTGCAGATATTGTACAGTATGCATTATTGCCAATGGGTAAGTTTTACTGTTTAACTAAAAAAAAAAAAGATTATTTAATTTAAATAGAATTATAAAAATGTACAGGGCAACTTTCTGAAGAAGCAGCTGAAGCTAAAAATATTTTAAAATTATGTAATTCTGATGATATGGATCATGATGATTTGGAGGTTCATGAAGAATTTAGTGAAACTGAGGGTGAAACTGAGGGTGAAACAGATGAAGATTTATAAATTAAAAATAATTTGTATACCTACTAAGATTAAAATAAATAAACTTTTTTTTTACATTTACATATCAGTTGATTTTTGGGTCACCCTGTATATATAAATACTATATATGCATAGTATATTAAATTGATAGATATATATTATTATACACACTTATTTGAAAAAGTTTAAACTTGTATATATAAGCATTATCCATTACCTATTAATTTTGACGCGCCAAACTTTCATTTTGGACCACTGTGCGGCACCGGTCCGCGGACCGGCGGTTGAGAACCACTGACCTACACAACTACTGTCACTACCTAATATTTACATTTGACTGTACGATTCTCTTCAACCCGAACTTTCAAACCCGGCCCGGGTTAGCAGAGGAATACATCTGTTTATTTTTAATTATTTCATTTTAATATGGGACTTAAGAAAATGTAAGATGACTTTATCCAACAATTGATTTATATTATATTATAGAGTTAAAACGACATTGTCGATATGATGATGTTTATGCGTGCACGCCGGAGAACTGGAAAACATATTATTTCAATTATTATTTATTTATTTATCTCACAAATAGCTAGTATCATAATCATATATATATAAATATATAATATATTTAAACTTGGATTAATGAAACAAAAACAATAGTGTTTGATAAGCAATTTATTGTCATCTAAAATAAATACAAAATATCATATTGCTTACTACTATTGTTAAAGCAAAATTAATTAAACTTCACTTCACAGAATAACAACGGTTTTTTTTTTAAAAATAATATTGTACTAAATATAGTATTCAGACGACCTGCTAATATTGATGAGTATTGTTATAGATCAATATTGTTATTTTAATATTTTTTTAAACAAAAATGCAAATATACATTTTAAATTTATTATGACTTGTTTATACTGGGAATTGTTGTTTTGTAATTTTAAGAATAATTAATTATTTTTACTATTGAAATTATGGTTTTAAAATAAATTACCAAAGTGCATAGAACAAGATAAAACAATCTTTTAAAAATCATTAAAGAAAATCTATAAATAACCATGGTTACATCATATTAGCAACAAAAATAATACCGTCAAATTTCGGTTATGTTAGGATAGTAGGTTTCGACTTTCAAATATCTTTATCTCGTAATTGAGTATGCATATAGGACAGGGGCAGGGGTGGCCAACCTTTTCCTATATTGTGTCAAGTAGAAAAAAAAAAATTGAAAATGTGCCATAAATGTTAACACGTCGATTATTATAACAAGACTGACTTTATTTTAAGTATGATTCGCTGCCAGAACCAAGGAAACTGAGAGATTCGAGTATGTTTACATCCGAAAGGTGATGAGATACAAAAAAAAAAAATTAATAAAAAACCCATCATAATAAAACCAATATACCTACATTCATCGCTTTGCTCAAATCTAAAAGATTGTAATATGTCACCCGGATTACCCCTTGAACCCTATATATGCCATCGATATTATCGTTTCGATCGGGACAAACCACGCACGTGTTGCTGCGCTTTGTAGGTACTAGTATAATGTAGTTTCTATTTTACTTAAACAATAAACATATCAATATTTCGCCATTTGTATTAATTAATTTTTATTTATTTATCCGATAACATTTCTAAAAAATATAATTGAAATAGCCATGAAATAATTAATGTTAAATAAATTCTTATATTACTTAGCAACATTTTAATATATAATTTTGAAGGGTTTAGGAGTTAATTTTCAAACAAGTGGGAAAAAAGTAGTTTTTAAGTAAACTTCACAATGAATTATAATATGATTCAAAAGTTTTATCCGATGAGTAGGGTAGTCGGTAAAATTTGCATAAGATTATATAAGGTCTGCAAATAGGTATACTATGTGGCATGTGCATAGGTCTATTTACTGATATTAAACCCAGACGGTATCGAATCTCCATGAGAATTTGTGTTAGATTTAATGGGTTAAGACAAATAGTAAAGGAATAATGAAATATTTATAGGCTATGATTATATTTATGGACCCAGTAAGCATTCAGATTAGTTTGTTTTCATTACTGTCTTCATTACTAAATAATGTACCTACCCATTTAATGTGCACACTTTTGTAAATAATAAAGATAACATAAATATTAACTACCTAGTAGCGGTACCTACTAATAATACTAGTATTAGGTAAACGTTTAAAACGTGTATTGTGGAAGTAAAAAATATTCTTTAGTAACAATAATATTTTTATTTTTATTTTTTCTCTATCTATTTTGGTATATTTTGGTGGGAAATATAACTGGTAGAATCCCGTTAAATATACATGTACATCTGCAGTTCAGTCACAATAACTAGAAAACCATTATAATTTGAATTTTTTTGCTGCCCCTTGAGATTGTGATTGAGGTATATAACTCGAATTTGTTTTTATTTCCCTTGAGATTCAAGTTATTGAGACTCGACTGTAGCTAATTTATTATATACCTATATACATCCGAAAATACGACGCAAATGGACAGTTTTTAAGGAATTAAAAATAGGCAACTTTTAAATTGCATGTAGGGTGGGTATTGTAAATGTGTGCGTAGTAAGTGATCATTATTATAGTTATAGGGTTCCCACACTCACACTAGTGATGATCAAAACAAGACCAAGACTAAGACTTTCAAAATCTTGGTCTTGGGTACACCTTAGTATCGGTAATGCAGGTCTTGGTCTTGGTCTTGCGCAAGACTCTTGCAAGACTCTTGCTGTTTTTACAATATATATATACAAAAAAAAAAACTATGTACCTGTTATAGCTGTGTGTAGGTTTTTTGCTATGATCTCTAAGATAAAACGCGAGTCCAATATATTATATAGCATATTAATAATTCAAACATTAACATAAAACCAGTCAAACAATTTAACTTTTATTATACTCGTGTAAAACTCGTGCATTTTAAATTATGCTTATATTATTTTACTTGTATTTGTATTTGATGAATCAATTTACCAGCATAATTTACTTTATCAGTTCCTATTACATTTATAATAAATAGCAATAGGTTATTAATAATTACTAATTATTGACCAATATAATGTTTATAAAAATTAAATTATTGTTTTTTTAATGTCCACTTTAACCAATCATAATATTTAAAAAAACTGTATGGTTAGTTCCAAATATTAAATTGCTTAATAATTATATTAATTGTTATAATGATAATATTTATTATTTATAGTTAAACTTTTATTTTCATTTTATTAACCAGTGTCCAGTACAGTAGTACTAAATGTTTCTTTTAATATAATATGTTGGCAATAGACCATCATATCGATTTTGGGAAAATGATATAATTTTTCAGTAATTGCTAATTAGGATGAAATAACTATGTCGTTTTGTTATATTAATTCCAATTATTTCTAATATTTTTTTTTTTCAACAATTTTCCTTTTCCTTGAATACTGATCAAATTTAATAACAACACAAATAATTTCTTATTATTTTCGTTATAAATTATTAGTCAATAAGATCTAGATACACTAATGTGTTTTCGGGGAAAAATAAAAAAAATTGCAAGAGTCTAGCAGTGATGGTCTTGTTTTTTTCTTGGTCTTGATCTTGCAGCAAGAGTCTTGCGAGACCGCAAGACCAAGACCAATTTTGATCATCACTAACTTACACGTACAAGTGGCACGAGTGAACAGTAAACAATTAATGCTCATTTGTATGTACTTTTTCTTTTTTTTCTTACCGATGGACCTAATATAGAACCCGATAAGTCTTCTGAAAACTGATTTGAATTCGTTTATTTGAAACCGAGCAGGCCACTTTTTGAATTTAAAATTTCATAAATTGTTATTATATAATAGGTATATACAAAACAAAATGTATTGGAGTTTTGGAATAAAATTTCAAAAAAGTGTCTCGACCAGTCTTTAGTCGACATAATACTACATTTAAATTACTTTTCAACAGTATAATCGCATTACTATAGGTTCACCGGTATGATTGATAACATATTGGTACATTTGGCTGCGAAATAACTGAACGTTTGCAATCCCAATAAGCATATGATAAATTATTCTTATGATATCGAACACTCTGTATAAAAGTATACTTTTTACAGGGCACTACACATGAAGGAGCATCCGGACTACAAGTATCGTCCACGGCGCAAGCCCAAGACGATGGTGCAGAAAAAAACCGACACTGGTACGGTGTCCGGAAAACCGGTGCCGTACTCGGTGCGCGACTTGTTGCCGCAACACGAATCGTCGGCCGCGGGCGCCGGTAACGGGTCTGCCACGGTGTCAACAGCCGGATCGATGGTGCATATGTCGACGGCCAGTGAACATCAGTCGGCCGCCACCGCTGTGGCCGTGGCCAAGTTCCCTCGCGCCTACTTCTCGCCTTACCAACACCACCACTACCCGTCCTCGTTCTACCAGCAGGTGGCAAAGGACTTGTCAACGGTGGCCGGCAATGGTGGCACAGGCACTGAAGCAGCCGCCGCGGGCAAGGCCGTCCACGACCTGGCGCTGCACGCGCTCTACGGTAGCTCTCTGTACTCTCGGGCCGTGTCGCTGGCTACCGGGTGGCCGATGATGGCCGCGGCGAACTCGACGGTGGCCGGCTCCAACGGCGGCTGTCCTGTCAACTGCGCCGAGTGCGGTCAGCACGCGGAACGTCCGTCCCAATCGTCGCTGCAGCCACTGCCACCGCCACCTCCCAGGCCGGCGCACGAGTCGTCCACGTCGTCTTCCACGCCGTCGCCACCCGCCCAGCTTCCGCCGCCACCACTACTGTCAACTTCCGCTGCCGTCATCAAGCGGCCCATCGCTCTGCTTGTCAAGCCGGATCGCGTCGGGTCGGCTGGACTACATGCGCAACATGTCATATGAAAACCGCTGCCGGTTCTACCGGAACCGGCCGCCGGCACAGCCTGCACCGCTGCCGCCATGTCGGCCGCCGTCCAGTGCGGTTGGCCGCAGTGTTCGTCGTCATCGTCGTCATCGCCACCACCGCCGCCGCCGTCGACGACGACGTCTCCCCTGGCCACACCGCCGTGGTGGCTCCAACAGTTGCAGCAGCAGCTGATGATGTGCAGCGGCAGCGGTGGCCACAGGAACACTACAGCTGCCCGCGGATCTCCCGGACCGCCGCCTGCCTCTTCGGCCACAGCCGCCCAAGACCACCGATCGGATTAGATGAGCACCACGTGCATCATTCCTCCACCATTGCGGTAAGGTTTAAACTATATATTATTTGTGATGTATGATGAAGAAGAAGAGAAAACGGCCATCGAGGACTTCATTTTTTGTTTTTTATGTAAATAATCATAATTTTATAATAATTTTTCATTACTCATTAATCATTTGAAAGATAATAATGTAACCAAAAGAATTGGAAAACTTGCAGTTGATATGATGATAAAATATGATATGCGTTATATGCAATGTGTAGTAGCCGGAACATTTGTCACGAACAAGGCCCTAAACAGCACAATTTCGTTAACGTTTGCAATTTTTACCACTCATTTTTTGTTTACTTTTAACTATTTTTTTCAGTTTATTATACAGTTCGTTATTTTACCCATTATTTTATAGCCAGACCGCTTAACTCCTTAAACTTTTTAATGACGTTTATGACGTTTTTGACTATTCACTCACTGAAACTATTTCAGATATTTGTTGCAGATGAGAACTAGGATTTATACTCCTGGTTAAACACTAAAATTATAAAAAATATAAAATGCAATAAGTATAAGATAAACAAGTACAAGGCATTGCATAAAAATAAAGTCCTTTTAAAAAAATTTATAATTTACGTGTATTTTGCCTATAATTTTATCTCAAATATTTTCTAAATTTATTTATTTCATTAGTATATGAAAACATATTATTTTAACTTTTCGGTTAATCGAGAATTTGACGGTTAAAAACATAAGTGCTCTTTATTCCATGTTATTCCAGAACTCATAGGATGTATAATAGTTTATTACGACAAATTAAGTCGTGTAATAATATGCCATAAAATGGCCCATAATATATAACTAGCCGGTAAATAGTAGGACGGTATATAATCGACACCAGTCGAGGACACAAATACAACGATTTGTGATGACATTTGTTGGAGGGAACTTAAATAACAAATTACCTAAACAAAACCGGAACCTAAGGGAGTGGTGGTAAAAAAAATGTATTCCCCCCACACCCCGGCTACTTCACAAACTTTTGAAACTGTGTATCTGCCTATTGTATGCATCGTATTATATTATGATGTATAATATTATTTTATGGAAAATAAAAAAATGATCTTCCGTTGTTTTTTGTGCGCACAATTTATGAATAATATACATTTACAATACCGATAAGCCCTCGATGTTTTAATATTATATTATTATTTTACGTTATATATATTTCTTCACCTGTGTATAATAAATATTAAATCATTATGTGTGTATAACATATTATTATGTACATGTATGTATAAGTTAAACATTTAATTTCAGTAATATTATGTTCTGTTTTTTTTTGTAGAAATGAAAGTATTCAATAGTATTTTCAATGTAAATTAAAAAGTTCTGGTTATATATTATATTATAATGTACGGTTATTTGTTATTCTTATTATATTTTCAAAAGCAATATTCTTTAATTTTTATTATTTACGATTAAAATGGTCGATCGACAACGGTCGTACCTATATTATAATATATCCTTTAATTTCATTTTGTACCCATTTAACAATATAAAATCCATTTATAATGCTCTTCGATCAGATAAACTTTATATAAGCAAAAGTCACCAAGAAGTCATCATTAATCTGTCGGGTGACGATAAGTTTGGAAAAAGCAACTGCACCATCACGTTTACAATTATTGTTGTATTCCGGTTAGGAGCGGTATTATTGTACACTCTAAGTAAGTTTCTGATCTCGGCGAACGGTTAATGTATTTTTTTAAAATTACTATTGTGTTCTGTTTATTTTATATACGAGTATATAATAATATATATAGGCCGAAATATTATTTCAGCGACAAACCGTAAGATAAAAAGTCAATTCAATTTTCATTATTTCCGAGTTTATTTAAGTGAAAAAATTGTTTCATTGTTCGTTCCACAATGCTATACACACCTATCTGCGCTGTATATTAAACGAAAACAAATTAAACACATTTCGTAGCGGTAGAAATGAAGTATAAAAAGTCCGGGAACGGGACAAAGGCTGTACGAATAAGAATGAAAACCGTTTCAAAATATGCAAATTCTATTACACGTATAGGTGCTCTCCGATTTGCGTCAGTTAATTAGTATAAGCGTATTATCACTATAGCTTAAATGCCACAATAAAACTTATCATAAAGGTATATTATTGAACCTCAATCATCTGCCTGTTCAACAATTTCACAATGAAATTTTGATCCTCCAATCGAAAATAAAACTTCGACTGTTTATTAGCCGATAACCGCATGTATATGGTTATTATGTATAGCGAACGACTGTAATTCGGTTTCGTATACCAATAGAGCAGAGGTACCTCCTAATGGCTAATATAATATTAAACTACACTCGACGTTATGGATTTTTTTGAAATTGTAACAAAATAATATTATCTATTTGAAACGGCCACAATAAAAATCGGAGATGTAATCAATTTAACCAATAAATGTAAGTTCAACCGAACGAGCTAAATATTATCAGGACGAGTCTTGATGACGTCCGCGTCAAATATTACTGACATATTACGCCATGTGGATGCTCAAACTGCAATCCTTGCCTAAACCAAAATGTTCGAACTGCACTCGGGTTCAAAAAAGATAATGTTAAAATTTCATTTGAATCAATCATTCCATAGAATTTGTAAATATAAATTTTAGTTGAAAATTGCATGAGTGTGTCGATGGGTATTGTTCCGGCCGTCGACTGATATTCTGTACTTATTCGTTAGTAAATAGATTTTTTTTTGTACTGTTATTGAGTGCAATTTTTTCGAACCCGTGTGCAATTCGAGCAAAAACGTTTTTCTGTTCCGAGTATCCCTTACCCATTAGGTACACCCGTTACAAATGCGAGGTAAAAATTCTTTAATATGTTGGGATTAGGCTAAAATGCAATGATTAAGCGCGTGTGAATGGATTTTAACGAAATTAATTATTTCTACGGGTAAGATGCCCTAACGACTATCTACTTATTGGATCGATCAGTATTATAATAAATTATATCCAACGATGGTTTTGTGCAATATAGTTTTGTAATTTACTTACCATGTTTACAAAATGTATTTATTTTAATTAATCATGTTTTTTATTGAATAATCATATCTTTTTATTTTATACCCACTTGAGATGAAAACATATCGAGAACTAACTACCTATAGGTAATTAATTATTTGTATTATTATTTATTACCTATTTATTTTTACCATTAATGAAAAAAAAACCTTACCTCACCTGGTACCACAGGCTGTTGCCTGTTGAGCTGTTCTCATAATATAATATTATATTTATTGGTATTTTTTATTTATTTATTATTATTATTATTATATTTTTCTTGTAATTAGTGACCTATATGTATCAACACATTCAACATAATTTAGTTGAAATAATATATACCTACATATTGTTATTAACATCAAGTTTTTTTTTCAAATACATTTAATGTATTTTCTCATAATAAAAAAACGTTTGTAAATTGTAATTCATTTACAGAATCACATAATCGAAAGTCTTATTTTTTTCGATATTTCTGGGTTAATCAAACGCATAATAAGGTTACATTCTGATTGGATTGTATCGAGAAAAAAACAGGAAATCGCTAATGTGTATATTATAATAGCCAGTAGGTATGAAGTGTCCTTTGTCGTTGAGCAAAACAGTCCACTGCAAAGCATGTGTTAAATTGAAGTAAATCATGCAAAAAAAAATCAAAAATAATTACATATGAAAAACGATACTGAGTAGAGCGGCCTGTCAGCTCTTATATTACACGGGGATAGGATATATTACATATTATTTAATATGACCATTTCTAATTTATTTCATTATAAGTGATACGGTAAGTTGAATTAATTTTTGCTAAAAACATCGTATTTCTTACATATATGTATATCATTCATATATTACTGTTATACTTGTTATGTATTATCTTGTAAGTCAATAACATAAAAATATTAATAGTATAACGGTGTGAATATAGATGCATGGTATAATAAAATATTAATATTTTAATAGATTAATATATTATATTAATCTAAATGTATTTAGAAAATGTCATTATATAATGGCGGAAAGTTTCAAATCTACGAATAATTTTTTTTTAATTAAAAAAGCAAGTAATAATCTGATATTTTTGGTTTGAATATTCAATTTCGTTCTGATTTCAACTTAAAATACTTATATAATAATTGCGCATAATATGTACCTATTTTGATATTTTAAATTTCATTAAAAACCACTATTATTATGTATTACATTTCAATATACTTAATGAAAGTATAGATTTTTTAATTTGCTTAAAATATATCTTCATTCTTCAGTGTTGAGTAAATTACTTTTAAAAAGTAATGAAATTACGTTACTCGTTACTTCAAATATTTTTATTTTAATTACATTTTTGTTACCTAAAATTATTTTTATCACGTTACATCACTTTTTCATTAATAAAGTAGTGCGTTAGAAATAACGTTACTTTTTTTATCATTTTTTTTAACCATATTCAATTCATATGATTCAATAATTATTATGTATATATTTTACAATTATAGACCTAGTGATAAATGATAATAGACCTATTTTAGTATTGTGTACAAATGTACAATCAATTCATCCTTTATGGTTGTATAGTCATAACCAGGGCTCGGGACTTAAAGCACTTAAAATCATTAAAATAAGCGCTTAAATAAGCACTTAAAAACATCATTATAAGCACTCAAATAAGCATTTAAAAAACTTAAATTTAAGCAAAAATATTTATTAAAAAAAAAAACAATAAAATAAAAATAAAAATTTATCTTTATATTATAAAAAAAATTAAACTTCATTTTCAGGACTGAGGATTTTATGGATTTTCCAAGGGATTTTCTGAAAAATAAAATGTAAACAATATTTACAAATAGTTGAAAAAAAATAATTTTTTAATAAATTTTAGTAAATTTTTTTATTTAAATTATTTTTAATTTTAATTCTATCAAAAACAACTTTGCAGTAG